ATTACTTATATATTTGCTATAAATCACATAACAGTATTTATTAAAAGAAATGAAATATTAATGTATATTCTCAGTAGTTTTAATTTGCTAAACCAAGTAGTTTTTCAAGTAATAATTGTCTCTTATGTGAACTGAGGAAAAATATAATTTCCAGCTTTATTTTTTCAATTGGTAATTTTTATTTTCACTAAATGTTAAGTATCAATGTAGTCGTTTTTATAATAATAGATTAGTACGCAATTGTGTGTCAACACATTATTTATTACCTTAAACTGTCTGGAATTTATTATTAAAGGGCTGCGCTTGCGTAAAATTTACTATCGTGGAAATTCAGCTTTTTTGCCTTTTGGCTAATCTCATCCCTGTTCATAGCTACTGTTATAAATTATGTAGAATGTAGATAGATATATTTCTTTATATTATAAGGTAGTATAATGTAAGTAAATAGGTACTATTAGTGTATATTGATTATTCCATTCATGTAATGCCAAAATGAAAGTCACGACCTGCTTATATGAGATCCAGTATCGTTAACCCCCATTTTCATTTCATAGACCCCCGATTTTTTTTCTCCACTTGACATGGACCCCTAGCAAGTTGTCGTCGACCCCTAGACCACTTTGGGAATCACTGATTTAAATGAAATTTGATTTGTATTTATATCAACCTAACAGTTACAATACAAACAGTTTACAGTTTTGCTCTAGTACCTACAGTATTTATTCAGGCTAGATTTTTGATAATTTTATCATAAATCCATGTGGTAATGTTGATCGTTTCTTTTCCAGCGTTATCCTGAGGTTATAGTTTACTTCAATAGGATTTTTTTCTAAATTCTAAGATGTCGATAGATGAATGAATGATACAACTTTAATATTATTAGCAGCTAACATAAAGCTATACAATGGCCATGTACATAAAACTATTTTACAGCTTAGCTGTTTTGTTAACGGCGTAGTAACGCAACAAAACTCATAGTAGACTCATATTTTATAATTGTCTATGAACAGCTGACCCAATTTCTGGGTTTATGACTACAAATTTTCAACTCTTTAGCCATGTAATTTTGAACCCAATCCAGCAGACAAGGAAACTCCTGGATCATGTATTGGGAGAAATTTGCTTTCGATGAGGACTTTTTGATGGAACTTACCCACATTTGCGTTACAGGGTGAGGAAAACCAAGAGAACCTCCCACAGTTAGCCCAACGGCAAGGGGCTAACCCATGATCTGTCTACCACTGTTACATCAGCACTGTAGTTGGTAGGAGCTGGGTGCGGAATTCGTGCCCAGGTCACCTCATTAGAAGGCAAACACTCTATCCCCTGACACGGCTCATAGTGGACTTATAATACTTTTTGTTTCAAAAGTATAGTGCAATTTTTAATAGTGCAATTTAGACTCCTGATAACAATTGCAAATATGGATAAAAATTAAAGACAATATATTCTCTTCTATTGACAGAAGAAACACTCAACATAAAATTCTTCAAATACAATAAAGAAGTATTCTTCAAATACAATAATGTACACAGAAGTTTAGCATACCTTTAGATGACTTTAGGTTTAAATATATTTGCATACCAAAAAAAAAAGAGATTTTATCCAGACTACAAATCTTTGTCGGGGTTATTAATTCTTTCCCTACATACATAAGATTTTTTTTAAAAAAAATATAAAAGTTAATAATAATTAATTACAAAACTTCATTTACCTTTAAGAATTTCACAAATAAAGATTGCTTCATCTTTCATATTTTGTAATACCTGAAAAAACAAAACAAATAAAACATTAGTTTTAGGGTTATAAAATAATGTAAAACACTTCTGACCATACATTTTCTATAATATAAAAATGACACTTATAAACAAAATACGATACTAATTTTTATATGTTAACCTTATCTTTCATATTAGCAAGCAAATGAGAAAAGAGTTTTCGTGAAAGTTAGCACAACCATATAAGGATGACATGATTTAAAAACTCATTTTGGTTAAAGAAAAGAAAAATTTTGATCACATGGCGAATTTGGTAAAACTAGCAGCCAATTTTGAACTCACACTATTTAGTGGTTTAAAATGCATTCATTAACACTTTAGTGGTGTTTTATTTCTAGGTACATAGGTATAGAACCAAAATAGGTCCAAAAAACAAAAGAGCCGATTTTTTTTTTAAAAATAACAAAAAATAGAAATTTTTACATACTTAGTAAAAATTACACAATATAGAGAAAATGGTACTTGTATGTTAGGGGGGCCCATAAAATTTTTTTGTACCCTTATTGATGCCAAACCTAAATGCGGTAATAGGTACCTAATATATTGATATAGGCACTGCAGTTATAGGTCTCTTAGACAAGTACGAGAAAGAATGTAGCAATTTCCTTTTTGGAACTGCATCCTGTCGGTAGAACATGAAGAAAATTCCTGTTCAGCAAAACAGGATTTAAAAAAAAAAACACTCAGAAGCTATTTGCACTCATGGGCTAGCATAAAACTTTTTCTTCTCATTTTAAGATCCTTACAAATTGATCATATTAAATTTTCATGTCTTCTTTTCATAAATGTAATAGGGCGCCATTTATCCAGACTTTAATAAACAAATTCAATCAAGAATCCTACGATTCCTTGACAGGGGGTTGAAAAATAGCTTATTTTGTTAGGAGAGGACTTTGGACAGATGGATCCGTTTATTTTGCATAGGTGAAAGTTATGCAGGAGGTGTTTTCAAAGCAGAAAGGAGACATGCTATGGTTAAATTAACAATCTTTTAACATTCGATTGTTAAATGATTGAAGAAAAACAGAAACAAAATTGTACTTAAAAATAGCACTGGAGCATCAATTGTAACTTTCTATTCCAGGTTTTCCCTGATCCGTGGGAACCCTGGCTAAAAAGCCGGTACAAAAAACACCAAATCCTGTACGACTATGTGATGAAATGTAGAAGAGGTGAATAGCAATTATGAGGAACATTAGCCTATAATCACTGCATGTTAGTATAATGAAAATATTTACTTTGTTGGTGATGATTAAGAGTATCCCATCAGGTCCGGAGGCATAGAGGTTGGCAATGCTGTTGGGAGGAAGATTTAACATTTTGCACAGTTCCTCCTTCAGTTCATTTAACTTGAGGGAATGTAAGTAAATGGCACTGAATGCTGAAACATTCAAAAGACATGAAAACAAAACTATTGCTGTACACATCCGATTTTTATATTTATCAAAGTGAGAATAAATACTGTTAGAACATTTTATCAATTTTAATAATGACAATAGCACTGTAATCAGTCACATGATCATTTGTGTTGTTGCATTTTCAGGGTTGCCTGAAAATGAAACCAAAAAAAAAAAAAAAATTCCATGTGTTATACCTGTACATGTTATACACAATATATATTATGAGAAACACAGTTACTGTGCTCTTACGTCAGCTATGGTGATGTAACTATACTAATTTAAATTGCTGGAAAAACTTAGAGAAAAAAGGAACAGCGGAACATACTTCGATAATGCTAAAGTAAATTAAATAGTTTAGTATAGCTGAAACATCATCCTTAAATGTCCCATAGATTACTCTTTGAGTGGTCACCATTATTAAAAGACGAAAAGAAGAAATGAAATTCCCTATATTTTTCCAGTTTGTAAAGAAAAAACATAACTCCCCGAATTTTTCCTGTTATTTCAGGTGATTTTTAAAATCACTGTATTTTCCAGGTTTTCCCTGTGGAGTGGCGACCCTGTCTTTACATCAAGCTCTTACTGTAGTACAAAAATTCAACGAGTATCCAAAATAATATACTATATCTGTTTGCATTGGTGTGTACAGAGTTGTGTAGATGTCTAAGGCTAATTTCTCTGTTAATTGCCCCAAAGAAATCCCTCGACTAAATGATTAATTGCACCTAACATTGTAATTTCAGGGATGAGATAGGCCAAAAGGCGAAAAAGCTGAATTTCCACGCGAGTAAATTTTACGCACCAGCTATCGCTTAATAATAAATTCCAGACAATTTAAAATAATAAATAAGTGTTGACATAAAATTGTGTACTAATTTATTAATATATGAATGATTACATCGATACTTAACATTACCAATTGAAAAAATAAAGCTAGAAATTATATTTTTCTTCAGTTCACATAAAGGAGACAATTATTACTTGAGAAACTGCCTGGTTTAGCAAATTAAAACTACCTGAGAACATACATTAACATTCCCTTTCTTTTAATAAATACTGTTACATGATTTATCGCGAATATATCAGTAACATGAATTTTTAAAATATTTAGAAGAAAAAAAAAACTTTAACACAATTGGAATCATTACATTCATATTATAATCTAATCTAGCTTTATCCCTGGGAAACATCAATAACTGTGAAGTAGAAACATATAGTAACTCCTTAATATACAAAAACACTATACATTGCATTGATAAAAATTTAAATTCATGTTTAAAATTAATTCATATTTCATGCATGCAAAAGTAGTTACTTTGTAAAAATTCCAACAAAATATTCTTAAATGTGAATAAAAGTTTTTTGAATTTTAAAGATCTAAAACTTGTGTTTTGACACATGTGTGGCTGAATACTAGAAAAATTAATGTAGAGTTAATAAGAACATATTTTATTGTTAAGCGTAATGAAGAACGAAACATGTAAATCATACAGGAAGAAAACAAGCAGCTGTTGCTACAATGAGGGCTGGAACTAAAATACATTAATAATTAATATTGAAGAGTATGTACTTAGAAGCATGGCCAAATTTAGAAAAACGCAAAGAGCATCTCACTTAAGTTAAAGGATGAGCATTGAATTCTGTGTTTTTCCTCTCAATTTGTTGCATTTTTATGTACACAATGACAGAGACATTAAGATAAACCAGCATATGAAGCTATACTTTTTCTTTGAGAAAATTGGATACGTAGTTCAGTCATCCCTGCTTAATTGCATATCCGATAATCGAATAACTCACTTAAATGAATAAAATTTAGCGGAACCAAATCATTATATATGAAACTAATGTTACATTTTCCTCGTTTAAATGAATACTTGTTGTTTCTAGTCCCCGCTTAATTGCATAAAGAAGAGGTACAGAAAAGAAGAAATTTTTATTTTTAAGAAATATTTTACCAGTTAGAATGAAATGTCCATTTTCAGGGGTGATTGTGAGCCCAAATCAAAATTCTGGAAAATTTCTTGAGTAAGAAAAAAAAAATTTTAAATCGAAAAAATTAGAAAAAAAAATTTAAACAAGGTTTTTTTATTTTTCTCAATACTTCTTAGTTTACTTAAAATATATCTTAAATAAATGATCAATAAAATGAAATACAAAAATGACTGAAAAATAATACGTAGTAACAAAAATGTGTTAACTTTTATTTCTTATTACTCTTCGTCTTACGTGCAAATTTTTTTTTAATAATTTCTAGCTGATGAGCAATCCTCAGCATCAAAAAGGGAAACACTTCCTGACTCTCCGATAATTTTTCCTGAATTTATGTTATTCCGCTTTTTTTAAACCTGTCTATCCAGCCATTCAAACACATAAAAGTAGTCTCACAAAATCACTTAGCGAATTCATCGGCTTTAACTTGAAGCCTTTGTCCAGATACTAGAAGATGGCGGCTTCATTGAATGCTGAACGAATTCAATAATGAAGCAAACAAAAAAAATGCTTATCGCTACATTTCATGCTGTAAATAGTTTTAAAAATCGGTATATGTATTTATTTTGAAGTAGAAATTTCAAAATATGAAGAAAATAAATCAGTCGAAGACAGAAAAAAGTTTATAATATCCAACTATCTCTCTTTTTTT